TTCACCGCTACATGGCATCAAGTCGTCCTCGTCGCCGCTTCCCCTGGCTGAGCCGCAGTTGCCATGTTTTCTTTGCGATTGACTGCCACCCTGTTATTGAAACGGGACTTGAGTATGTGAATGCAGCGCAATGCCAATTGCTTGTTTCCTGGAGTCCATTTGCAGGCGAGCAACTGATTGAGGCAGCTCCTGTCAGCCCACTCCGTGGCGAGGACCATAACTACTTCATCCCAGTGAAGATGGATCGCACGCATGAGTGACTGGTCAGCGTCGCAATCATCCCACTTCCACTTGAAGTACATGGCGGCACCAGCGCGTACCAGCTCGGACACCACGTCGGCTGGAGGCGCACTGTATACCCTGCCAGCCAGTGCCCATCCACGACCAATGGATGTGCCGGCTTTCAGAAGAAGAACTGCAGTATTTGTTCTTTGGGGGGCGATTGCCAGCTCAAAGGGTATGAGGTTAGGAAAGGCATCGTAGCCGTCTTGAGAGCTGCCCACTGCGGCGCCATTATTCACATTCGCGCCATGGTCTAACAAAATCTAAACCACATCGTTGGCGCCAGACATGGCAGCGGCATGAAGTAGATTGATTCTGGCATTCCAAAGCGCTCGATTAACATGGGTCCTCGCTCTTTGGCTTTGTTGCATGTTGAAACATGATAGTGGTTCCAATTCCGCAGTATACATTTCCGCAGCGACAAAGACTTCTAGACTTTCCGCCAGGTATCGGCTTCTCGATTTCAGCGTAGTAAGAACTACTTGTCGGATATGGGCGGTTGCGCCTTCCAACCCGGCGGTGCCACTGGAATCAATGAGGCAAAGGACAAGGGGTGGCAGCATGTAGGAGAAGAATAACTTCCTCTGCAAGACGGATCCAGAGAGTGCTTGGAGGCTGCGGCATGTCCGCATGGTTGATATCAAGTTCGTAGGTTGAAGGCTATCCAGGACATTTTCGATCAGTTCAGGCGGCATTTGCTCAAGGGATGTTCTGATGCTATCAATAACTGTTTTAGGATATCGCGAGCTCAAACACAAGTGATAATGGTAGAAGATGGACCAGGCATTATGGCGACAACTCCTGGACTGTCGATAGCAACCTCCAGAACGGTGAGAGAGGAGGAATGGGAGCGGGGGAACTCCGTTTATCTAGCCCAAATTACCAGCACATGACATACTTGCGTTACACAACGCCATGATGTAGAAAGCAACACATTTCTGCCGTAAGTTTTGAAGACAACAATGCAGACTGGCCATTGTATGTCTTGGCTGTCTCGGAACGAGGGTAAATTGGAAAGCCTCGTTCTTGGAACCAGACACTAGTTGTGCTGTGCAACAGTGCTGGGCGAATATCGAGAAACAGACATACAGCTTTATGCCACCTAAGGGATGATCAGATTGCCGACGAGCAGCAGTAAACAGCTGTCAAAGTGCTGACACCACGGTTTTCCGCAAAGAGCTGAAGTTTTGGGCATGTCTTGGTCTGAAGAAGTAAGTAGCAGCAGCAGAGATCAACCTTTGAAAGTCCGCCGTCTCTCTTGAAACCTTCCAGGGCTGTTAATGCTTTCCTTTTCCTTTTTCTTCTCTTTTCGGGCCTAGGTCTGTTTGCTTGCCAGCACACCTGCCGTCTCTGAAAATTCGTCAGGGAGGTAAGGTAGGCTTGGATATGGCCCCACAATTTCAAGATCATCTCCCGCTGCGGTGGTATCGATTCTTTCATCTGCGATCTAAAATACGCCAAAGTCGTCGTCACAAAAGTGCCTCATATCCAATTTCCAGGCTTTGGGACTGTACCGGCCGCGTTTTGGTACCGTCAATTGCCACCAAAAATTCCACAGCACGCGCCGCTCTGTATGTGGGAGCAGCGGCATTGGCAACATTATTCGTAAACCCCAGTCCTCGGCAAGCCAACAGCCTTTCTTCTTCCTACACGACGTCGCCTATCAAGCCGAGTTCGAGCTTGCCCGCCAATTTCATTTTCGCCAGGCGACTTTGGAACGCCGTACCTCAAACCCCCACTTCCCAATCGGTTATCACCAAGGCACTTCGTACAATGTCATTCAGCCTGCCATTGCGCAACGAGAGAGCAAAACAAGACTCGGGAATTCCGTCTTCCAGGGCTTGTAAAGAACCGGGAAAAATTGACCACTCAGCGAAAGTTAAGAAAGCATGGGTCACCCGAAGAAAGAATCAAGCAGCCAGAAAAGCCAACGCACAGGCTACTTTGACGACTTCTCAGTTACAGTGTAAGTTCTACCATGCTAAATGAGTAGATTGCTAACTTTGGATAGCTGAACAAATTCGAAGCATGGGGGAAAGCGACAAAAAGGCCGACAGCACGGCGTCCGATATTCAAGAACGGGCTCGCCTGATGGTCACATTCAATGTCCGGGAGATCATGTCAAGGATCCAAGCCCGATACAACAGCAACAGTGAAGCAGAGCAGCCTCCCCAGATCTTTGGACAAGAATCAGAGATAAAAGTGCGTCTTCGTTTCATACTAGGTGCAACGCAATTGACACAGGCAGTTCCCAGCGGAAATAACCCAAGATCGAGTCGGTGAGCGCCGCAGAGGCTCTCAAACTCTGTGGGATATTCTCAATCGAGGGGTCGACGTCATCGACTCCATCGCCTCTCATCGCATCGTCTTTGCTGACGGAGCTCATAACATTCAGCTCTACACCGTTATCAAAGGAAAGCACCTGTACGGAACCGGTTGGAAGACGGAGCTGGAACTGAGTTGGATCGCCCTGTCTGAGGTTACTGCGTACTGGGCTTCATTCCCTGGAGGACGCGATGGCGCTATAAATTCAATCAGCCCCATTCTCCTGAAGAAGCGAGTTCTCATGGTTCTTGGCCATCGCAAGAGACGCTACGGCCGGCTTGAGCTCAAAGTGCTGTACCAAGGGGTGGCTCCAAATCCCATTTGGGTGGAGGATTGGAAGGTCCAAGTTGGTCAGGAAATGGACGCACGCACTGTGGATGACTACTGGAAGGCCATCGCCGTACAGCCTGGACCGTACGGTTTGCAAGAAGTTGTGGAGGAAACAACGCTGGAGCTCAATATTCAACCAGACTGGCCGATGACCATGGGGTCTTTATAAGGTGGAGGGTTCAAGGGCATCTGTGCGTCTTGTCTTCGCATATGCCGGGCAAGCAATTCAGAAGCACGATTTTGGCGGACCTTGTAAAGCATCACACGACATCGGCTGCTCAAAGGTCGACTTTGCTCGCTTGCCTCCCCATCAATAGCATTGCCTCTCCGTAGCAATGCAGAAAAAGCTCACAGGGCTCGGCTCAAGAGCATTCATACTTGGTCATCCTAGGAGTGCACCGTCTTATTGCGGAAAAAAAATTCGATTGCTCTATTCGTAATGCGCACGCATCTGGCGTCATCGACCCCATTGACAGATCCTCCAGACCTTGTGCCGGCGTGGCACTCATGAAAAAGCTGTCACTATAATAGGTCAGTTCGGGTGTCGAGGAAACTGGCCTTACAAGCAGGTGTGACTCACTCCCAACAAATTTCAAGCGCGTATCTTTGAAGCGACTCATTCCACTCGGCTGGATGGAGATTGGCAGACTCTGCACAACTGCCGACAGACGCTTGCTAGCCCGTGCCGCAGGTGCTCAGTTCAGTTTGCGCTCGCCGGCCAGTATGGCGACCATACGAGCGGCACTGGAGAAGACTTCCAAGGCGCTGGCGAAAGCCGGCTCGGTGTCCTGCAGGAAGTCGCTGTCGATGCTGGCTTTAGCGACCATGCGCGCGAGTTTTACCAGCTTCTCGGTAGCTTGATCCATTGCCATCACTGTCAATATGTCAGAAGACTTGCTTGAGAAGGGGTGGTTGCCTTACAAGAGCGCATCGTTGAGTCAGATGCTTGGGAGGAAGGGCTCGGAGGAGCGTCGTCGACAGCCGCGGTGGATGCGACAGGGTCGTCCTTGTCCTTGTTTTTGGACTGCTTGTTGGTACCGCGATCCATCGTCAGCTTTCAGGTTTGCTGCAGCTGTTGTTGAGAGATGTCTTCGGAGTGACTCTGGTGTTGAAAGCAGCAGAAAGCGTGATAGTCAGCTGTCGCAGAATGGCGGAAGAGAAGTCGTTGGATCCAGGTTGCTGGTAATACAGGAGTGGGTTCAAGGCATTGGTGAGAGCTGGTTTCCATAGCCTAGGGTCCCGTCTGCACAGTTACCACTTCAGCCCTCCGAGTCTGATCGGAGGAGACACCCCGCTCCAATCAAATCTTGTACTGTGGAAGAAGTTAGCACCTCGATGCAGGGCGTCATGGTACCTCGTGCTTTCATAGTATGAAGTTCCAAAAGAAACCTACTTGGTTCTATTCTGAAAGAACTCCCTCCTGGTTTGATCACACAATGAGACAGAACTCACAGATATATCACTCATTTGCATGATGTCTTCCTTATCCTGACGTATTGATATTGAAATTAGCCATTTTATCGCCATGCCAAAGTTATTTCCTAATCATTCAAGCGGAATTTGGGGATTTACTTTTAAGCTTACCATTCGTGTTCCTTTGGGAATAATCGGAATGCTCGTTTGACATGGGTGCTAAACATGACAGGCCCGCGGATTCCACGGTATGTGTCACCTTCCCAATGCAAAGCCGGCGAGTCTAAGCCGATTCCAACTCAAAAATAGCCGCGACACGTTAGGCGAGGATCGGCGACTGCTGCTACACTTTCACTCCTCGGCAGCAATACATCGCACTCCCCATGGGGCGAACCCCCCAGACCTAGTAAGTGTTCTGTTTTCAACAGCCAAACATGTTCTTCTGGCAGACGGGTGTACGCGTGATGCCCGCAGAATGCCCGCCGAATACGGTGCTACGTCAGACAATCTGTTTGTTTTTGTAGTCAGACTCACGGAGTTTCCATTCAGCGATTGTAACTACTAGGTGGGGTTTGTGCTGCTATTATGAACTATGTTGAGTAGAATTTCTTGGAACTCGGTTCATTTTCTCTTTCATCTATTATCGTCTGCTAGTCATCAAAGTCCGACGCTCTGCCGTATCTTCGTAGATCATTCAAAGTCGTTGTGCCAAAGTCAAAGTCTTTAAATTGCTCCTCCAGTGTGCGGTGGGCGGGACGTGGTTTTCTCAGCTGGTCGTCAAGTTCGTGGGCCTCGGCCATTTGCACCGTGAGAGTCCCTTCCGTACTTGGGTCAGAGTCCTTGACATTCTTGTCGGACTTTTGCCCGGAACGTTCTCTAGTTCGATGGAAGCTAAACAAAGGACGGAGTGTTGGTAGGCAGCAACATATCACCGCACTTGAATAAATGGTCAATAGGTTCCACCCACGTTGGCAATTGAGCTTGTACACATACCAGTATGCCTCCAGACCGGTCCAGATCATAAGATCGACTGTCCCCCAAGTCGGATCTCTAAAGTCGAATGTTGTGACTTTGACTAGACGGATAATGGTTATAAAACAATTGCTAACCCCTATTATTAGAAGCCGTGTAGAAGAGCCAACGTAAAGTTACGCGCTGAGCCAGACAGGACTTACAAGCCGCCAAACACAAAGGACATCAATAAAAGCATCTTCTTGTACCACGACATCCGCAATTGTGCCGCATAAGGCATCGGAAGAATGATAAGAATGAAATCGGTGATGATACTGCCGACCGCTATGCTGATGTAGAGTTTCGAAATATCGATGCAGTTTTTGTGGTTTGTCCAGAAATTCGAGACGGGATTGCAGGCCAGAATCAGCGGTAGTGTCTGACATAACCTTGTCAGCGGGCTTCCTACTCATCGCTAGCCAGCCACTCCAATTGAATTCGCTAAAGGGTGTGTCCTTGAGAGTTCGTGAGCAATGCAACATTGTTACTTACAGCGTAGATTGCCCAAGCCATGATGAAGGCCATCAAGCCGTATAAGTAGTATCGCGCGTTAAAGAGCCCAAATATTCGATGGTATAATACCACGAGAGATAGCCTCGCAGTCGCCAGTCCAAACGGATACAAGATCTCGTTGGCGAATATTGTTTGGTAGAAGTAGACAATGTTCATCGGATCCTCCTCCTGGACCACGACTTCGTGTCTGCCGAGACCGAACCGTAGCCAAAGCATCGTCCCGGTGAACACACCAGCGATGAATACCTGTGACTCTTTGGTTAGTTATGTTCCAATTGAAGCCATTCAAGTCATCCCATCACAGGAAAGCAGCGTGAGGTTTCGACCTCAGCGGACCGAGAGGTCTTCGTCGGGCAGAAGAACCTACCAGGCTTGCTATAGCCAGCCAATCATCCCACGTAAACCTCCTTCCCGACACCCTTGCCGCAGCTAATCTCGCCAACACGGAGATAATTGACAAAAGGAAGAACGTCAGATGTATTGCATAGACCTCATCCGCTCGACTCTCGGCTCTGAGGGCCGAATCCTCCTCCGGGGTCATGGAAGGCATGCCTCAGCCGCGTCCAGTGACCGATAGAGGCAATTGGATGGCTGGGTAATCCGGTCACCATGAGGGACGCTGTTGGATTTCAGTTTCGATGAACGAGCGAATGGACGATAGGTAGGGGAGCACTAGAAAACCTCTGGAAGAACTCCTCGTAGTTTTAACACATGGAAACGTCGGTCTGAAACGGCTTTCCGGTGGTCTTTGCTGGTTTACATGAGCAGAGTTTGGTCAAGGCATTACCTTCCAACAAAAATGGAACTTTCCATCCGAGTCTATCCCAGAAAGGTATGTCATAACAGTGCCCACGATTCATGAACCGACTTACCCCAAGAAATCATTTGACGGGGTTAGGATTATACATGCATTTCAGGGTATCCGGCAATGTTAAGGCAGACACACGCGTTCCAAGCCACGGTATTTTAACTCGCGAGCCACTCGCAATATTCGTTTCTCGTCATAGCTCTCTTCCCGGCGGGAAGGTTCCAACGGAGGACGACTAACAAAGGATTACCCCTGTCAATGCTGAGGGGTTGACTTGAAGGTTGCTGACTTCAGAATTTTGTTTTATCAATGATGCGCGCACCAGCCCTACTTCACGATTCATTCGAATAATAATCCACTAGGATTGAGAGGATGCCGTGAGAAATCATGGCACGGAACGGAGAAACTATTCGATTTTACGCTTCTACGGTCAACCAGGGATGACCTTTGAGACTAATTCTGAGACTCGCTTCGGTGCGACCAACCAAATTGGTTGTCAAATTCGGCAAACATTTCGCTTCGAGCGACAACCTAGATAGGAAAGTGACCAGCGAAATTCACATAGCTGTAGCCTTGTGAAAGGACAGTACAAATGCAATGGTGTCTGCTAACACTTCATCACTCTCAGTTGTCGTGAGGAACCTAGAAATCGAAAACGCGCGAAAGATTGATTGCATTACGAGAGCTTATCATTGTTAAGGCCTCCACGGGTCAGCTCTACATCGTCCAGTTTATTACCCCGCACCGGCATTGTCTCGTCTGACACGCAACCATAGGCTACGCTACAGGTAGAAGATCTCAATACTCCGCAACACTCGCCTACGTGAGGCAAACATCAGCGTTCCGCAAGTGACTTTTACTACATCATATACATATTCTGCAACGCAGACTTTGAATCGAAATAGCCACATGTAAGACAAGATTATGCGGTAGTCAGAGCCGCAGCCTTTCGCATTTTAATTACCTTATTGGCCATGGATTTCAAGCAGCTCCCATGCCTCAGCAATCACTCGAAGCAATGAGAAACTGCAACTGGCCGTCTTTGTCATTCTTACATGATGCCAAGAGGTGGTGCAGTCTACTTGTTGGGAGGTGATGATTCCTAGTGGCAGCAGCAGTAGCAACATGCAGAACCTAGTCCCTGGTTATATGAATTGATTCGATGGCCTTTAGAATTCGTCGATCGCAGCGAATCAATAACTGCATTGCCTTTTTCTCTTCCTTTGATAGACTCGGGAATTGCAATGGGTTGTTAAGTTACCAATCTTCCCCACAATTGAGAGATCCTCACCCCAGATGCGTGTGCGCCAAGTGCAAGTACCAACAGCAAATGGTGGTTCGAAACCCCGCACTCCAGGAACATCGGCTCGAGCGTCGGCAAACCCCCGGTCCAAACTCGGCTACAAAAAGGCGCTGGATTCTCATGTCTCTCATCCTGCACACAGTCATGAAGATTGGAATGTGGAATACAAACGATCGCGATAATCAGATGTCGGCAATTAAGTTTGAAGGATGGCTAGGCCTGGGTCCGGACTCTGCGAAGGGAAAGATGGAATGGGGTTCTTTTGAACCAAAGGCTTGGACCGAAGATGACATCGATATTCAAATATCCCACTGCGGAATTTGTGGATCTGACTTGCACACACTCCGTTCTGGCTGGGGCAAGACTGACTATCGTAAGTCGTCTGCGTCTTTGAAACAGCAGAGAACATCCTCTTCTAACTTTCTTCCAGCATGTTGTGTCGGTCATGAAATTGTTGGGAAAGCCGTTCGTGTTGGCTCGAATGTGCGCCACATTCGTCTTGGTGATCGCGTTGGGGTTGGTGCCCAGGCCCGGAGTTGTCTCCGAACCGATTGCCCAGACTGTTCTCGCGGAGAGGAGAATGCCTGCGTTCGAGAACGTGTCGACACCTATGGGTCTATCTACCCAAATGGCGAAGGGAAGTCTATGGGTGGTTATGCGGACTATAACCGCACCAACGGCCGCTTCGTATTCAAGATTCCCGATGGCCTGCCATCTGAGGCGGCAGCACCAATGCTATGTGGCGGTATTACAGTCTACGCACCTTTGAAAAACCACGGATGCGGTCCCGGAAAGACGGTGGGTATCATCGGGCTTGGCGGATTAGGGCACTTTGGAGTCCTTTTTGCCAAAGCTATGGGCGCCGACCGAGTGGTAGCAATCTCAAGGCGACGATCGAAAAAAGGCGATGCACTCGCGCTCGGAGCGGACGAGTATATCGCGACTCTTGACGATGAGAAATGGGCCAGGAAAAACAGGAGAACTTTGGACCTTTTGATTTGCACAGTCTCAAATTCTGATATGCCTCTTCAGCAATATCTGAGCTTGTTGAAATGGGGAGGATCGTTCATTCAAGTCGGGTAAGTCTACTTCGAATGCACGCGATAGGGTGAAAAAGTGACATTTGGCTACCTTTAACTAATACGTACTTTTCAGATCTCCTGACGGAGGGAAGCTGCCCGAAATCAGTGCCTTTACACTCATCATGAACAACATTCAGGTCGGCGGCAGCAACATTGGGTCTGTGAGTCAAATCCAAGAAATGCTAGAGTTTGCTGTGAGGCAAAACGTCAAGCCTTGGATCCAGACGAGATCCATGAACGATGCCAACCAAGCAATAGTGGACATGGAGGATGGAAAAGCGCGATACAGATATGTGCTGGTCAACGAAAGGCATTCCGGAGTTTCAGTTGCCTGATGTTCCTGAGACTTGCCAAGATGAAGATCTGCTTCTCAGTCCTCAAGCCTAAAGGTCAGGTCCGCGGCGAAAAGAGCTTCAGCCAATGCATGTTTGACAACATGATCGGCTTTCAACAACAACATTAAGAAATGTATATAGACTCATTCGTAAGGGTAAGAAAGACAATTTCCGTCACTTTTTCAAAACGCTCCGCGCACAGAATCCGTGGTTCAACGTCGTTCATGCGTTCTCGTCGTCTGGCGCTGGCTGCACAGTTGGTGTATCGACGTTTCCTCTGTCATATTTCTTGGACCTAAACGAGCCTGTTTTGGTAGTGGGGAATCTACAACTGCGTCTTTCTTTCTTTCCTTCTAACTTTTCTTCTTCGCAGTTTGCCGCCTGGAGGCGCACCTTGTTGACTGCCGTATGACTCTCTACACCGGAGAAGCATGGCAGGCTTATCGCCGTCTGCTTCAACACTATATGACTCCTAAGGTCCTATACGAAGTAGTCTTCCCGAACATTTATACAACCTTTACCCGACTGTTAGATCTATGGGCATTGAATGTGACATTGCTCCTATAAAGCTCTCCAGGGTTGGAAGTCACATCTTCTGTGCAGCCCTTAACGCTGTCTTCGATCCACGGTGGAAAGAGCACTTATTCCACCAATTGGAAAACTCTTCACAATAAATGACGAGCATAAATAATAATTTAATGAGACTACTGTCAAATAAGATTTCATCTTGTTTCTGCTGGCATTAACTGATCTAGCATTTGAGGCTATATTGGAAGCAGCAGAAAATGTCATAGGAGTGACCTTCAGCGGTTCTCCCGATATTGCCTGGTGGTTGATCGGCCTGAAGCCCAGCGTGCAGCAAATGAGAAGGGTAAGAGATACCTTTCGCAGGACTCAAATACTGGAGGCTGCCAAACGATTTCGGACATAAGAGATGAATGCCAGCAACGTGGCGAGAGAGCAAGAAAGACAGCTGGTGTATTATTGTTAGACTATAAAAGACTTAGCTGTCGATCATCTAGTCACTTAAACAAACGTTGACAATAGAGAAGGCTTTAGCCTTTATTATTACTGGCCATGACACAACAAGTACTATTTTCTGTTGGGGCGTAAGTTTCTTGCAGATGATTCAGCATGTTAAAGCAGACTTCAAGCTCATCTACGTCTAAATCTCAGTCTTTAGCTATTGCTGAGAACTGTCTGCCCTCCTATAGGGAAATCACATATCTTGGCATTTTATATCTAGATGCTATTATTAAGGAAATTTCACGCCTTTATATACTGCTATCATATAAGATCTGCAATACAATAGAGACAATAGAGCTTATTAATCAACATGCTACTTTTAATTATTATAACTATATTATGTCTTTCTATTGCTTATTCTATATAGATAAAGAGAAGGAATTAACTGCCTTAGTTAAACTTCTAAACATATATTAACTTTTAACAGCAAGGGCTTACTGGGGCCTCCTTCCACATGACCTATTTCAATTGTGCTTATAATAAAACGTTAGAAAAATAGAAGGGCTAAGTAGTGTTGCAAACTCCTGTTCTAGTGCTCTGTTATTCTCCCGCCCGCAAGGCCTCCCCACCCTTCTTTCTTCCACAACTACATCTTCTGCTTTCAGTCAGGCAACAAGTGGCCAGCCTATCGTCACAACAAATACAACAGCTGAAGAGGGGACCTCAGGCACTCACCTCCCCTCATCATCAGATGTCAAAGTGTTTGCTCGTTGATTTTGATTTTCGGTCTTGAAGTCACTACGCTCAGGTTTCGCGACCCCTTGCAAAGACACCACATTGGCGAAGTGGTCGCGCCTCGCGGCTAGCCACCTTGCCTACCGGGTATTGCCATCGTCATCATAAGGAAACCCCTCCGACGCCAGTCGCCGCGACACCTGCGCACCTGAAATTTTTGTCTTCACACCATCGTCAAACGCGCCAAGATGAGTGGCAGGAGGACGCCCGCCGGAAGCAATCGTCGTCGGACCGTGGAGCGTTTTCACCCATACCAATCACCTGCTTCGGCTCGGACGAACCGTGAACCCTCGAGACCACCTTCTACGCCTCGCCGCCGCCTCTTCCAATCGACTTCATTAACATCATCATCAAGCCTGACGCCTCGACAGCGACGCGCGGCAGAAGCAGATGCGTACCTTGCTGATTTTCTCGTTGGAAGTAAGTATCCATCCATCTTTCCCTTAGCTTTACTAGAGGCCCAAGTTCCAATTTCTCTGCTGACACGCATAGCAGCTCCAGAAGAGGGCCATCCCGAGCTGGCGGATTACGATCATTTCTTCGCTATATCCGGCCCGTCAGCATCAGAAAGCTGTCATGAAACCTCGGCAGCCCACAGCCCTTCTTCTAGAGCCCCAGCATCGTCAGCCACGGTTCGCCGATATCACTCGGCTACCTGGTCTATTCGTTCTCGTGAAGAGTACATCACCAAATCAATGGCAGACAGGATTCAAAGGTTTACGCGATTCATCTTCCATCCAGCCTCGGTGCGGATCACACGCACTCCCGGCGATGGCATCATAGAGCATGGCGTCCCTCAGGCGGAGACCAGTCTGTACAACGGCATTGATGTGGCTCTACAGGGACGATGGGTCATCACCGAGGACAAAGTGTTGAGAGTAACCAGGTTTTTGAGAACGTTGACAAATGGGTGCGATGTGGAATGTTTAACGAGGGACGTAGGTGTTGGTGGGGAGGAACTTGGAGACGAGGTTTGAGTACGTTAGTTAGGTCATGCCCGCGTAGTCGCGAAACACATGAGGTGCACCCATAATGCAACGTGCCTGGCTCACTGTGCATGTCATGCTGGGCCCGAGACATGTGAGGCACATCTGTGCCGAAGCAGAAGCTTCTTGACACGGGCTGGAACCTGTCGAAGCTGGAATCAAACGGACCGCTGAAGATTCCCGGCGGAAACCGCGTCAGCGAATGGTTCTTACCAGCCAGATATGTCAACCGGTGAGTGCGTTGCTGCATTGCCAAGGGTACATGCATGCAAGGCCCGGGCGTGGTGTCGGTGACTGCGGCAATCTCGGTATGCCGCCTTGACTGATTGAGGTGACAGATAGACAGGCCGGCTGGAGGTGAAGATGGCTGGTCGCGGAGGGCATTTATTCTTCGCGTCGCTGTATTCGCGTCGGTTTGCGCTGCTTTAATCACAATCCGAGCATTCCGCAGAACTGCACCGGCTATGATGGCAGGGAAATCGCACTTGGACACTGCGCGTCGCGGGTTGTGTGGTGGGCATTTACAGTGTGTACACTACCTTACCTTACCTTACCTTACCTTACCATCCCGTCATTGTCTGCTTCGCACGCAGCGTCTGCCAGAAAACCGGACTGACCCACGTGCACCTAGAACGCAACATGCCTGGGATCCGCGTCTGCCTCGGCGATACCAGCGACTCCGGACATCAAGGGCAATTTGGGCGGCGTGTACTTCTAAGCCGCGCTCAAAGAAGATGTTGCAGCTGGTGGTGCGTCTCCGCCGGCGTTGGCCCGGGCTAGTCACTATCGAGGCTCGGAAAACCCGCCGCTTGATGAGGCGCCGGCTCTCCTGGAGGATCATGTACGGCTGGGCAATGAAGGTTGTCGGCGGCGGCTTGGGGGTTGAGTACGTCGGTGTCGGGGATTCTCTTCCATAGGATAGGTAGTGAGGTAGGCAGGCAATTAGGTACCTACCTAAGGTACCTACCTACCTACCTACGTCCAGTGTCTAAGGTACCTACTTCCATTGCATGGTGCGTGGGTCGGTCCCCTGAAGACGGCCTAAAGCGAATCGTCTTCCTCTACCTTACACCACCAAGTGTACCACCACCGCCGCTACCCTTTCGCTCTGCATCCCCACTCGGCCCAGCTTCCGTCACCTCAAATGCATCGCCTCTCTGCTCTGTATCCGTACCATCTTCTCCTTCCGCTTCTGCATCTAGCCGTGTCTTGGGCGCAACCCCTTCCCGCTGAACAGACGCATTGTTCGAAGCCGAACTAGCGTCGGCGTCAGAAACAACTGGGCTAGAGGGGCCACCAGAGCCAGTCGGGCTTGATGGGCTGCCAAATCCAGTCGTAAAACGAGCCCTCTTTGGCGGTCGGCGAGGTGGCGTCTCAAGGGGACGAAGAGGGCTCGGCTCCTGGGCCTCGAGCCCGGCAGCGGCTCTGGACCGGCGAGGCCGCCGTGGCGGAGTCTGGAAAAGGCGGCGCAGAGTTCCCGGCGTCTGCTCTTCAGTTGTCGGGATGGTCGGGGTTGCGGGCAGCGCGGGCAGCGGGGTGGATGGTCCAGGTCCAGGTCCAGGTCCAGATCCAGGTGCCGTTTCAGTCGAGCGCGCAGGCGTGAGAACGGTTTCGTCCTCGGCCCGAGTGCCGGAGGTGGGCTTGGTGGGTGTGTCCTGCCCGTCGTCCATTGCGCAAATAGGGCAAATGGCACAATGTCTCTTTGCTTCGTGTTTGGTCTCTGCTCGTGCTCGGCCGACTCTGCAGAGTGATGCAACTTTCGTCGACCATTGGGCGGGCGGGATTAATCATCGCGAGGGGGATGAGCTCCGCGAATGCCGATCCATATCCGATGCAACCTTGCCCCACACGCGTTTCTCCCGCCGCGCCATCCTGCGCGCCATCCGCGTCTGCGGGAATTAGTAGGGTGATTAAATAATCGGCAACTTCAACATGTGGCTTTGATTGCACCGAGCACGAGGCATTGGACTGCGTTGATGTCATGTTTGCGCGCGAAGCAAGACGGCAAAGGGGGCGGGGAGGTACAGATAACTAAGTTTCATTTATCGTCCCATTCATTGCCGTTGTCTTCCACCGCCAATTACAGTCATTCTAACACTGATCTTGTCCGTCAAAGCAAAGTAAATAAAGCCCGTCCACCACTTTTTGAATACTTCCTACATAGTCGAAAGAGTCGGCCAACCGAATGTAAACCCATCCTCATTGGTGAAGACGGTGTCATCGACAGTAATCTCTTTACCATTTCTGGTGGGCAGGAAGACGTGTCCGTCGAAAACATCCTTCAAGCATACTGTCTCTAGTTGCTGGCATTGCTGGAAAAGCTCCACAGCATTGATTACCAGATCCTCCTTGAGAGGATGTGTCTCACGAAGATCATCAATCTCATCGAGGAGTCTGTCGTCGAAAAGACCTGGACGGGGATAGACTTTGGGAACAGTGGTCAGAGCAAGATATCGCATATTGTTGAATTGCTTGAATATGGGGATGAGCGTCTAATTCTGTTAGTTTCGACTATCTCGGCGGAACTTCAGTACTCACTGAGACTCTGGTGTTCTTCAGCTCGCCATCAACGAGAAGCTTCGAGACTTGAGGGAAGAGTTCGAAAATTTCCTCAACGTCTTCAGTCGTCCAATTGTCCTGCTTGAGCTCGAGGACCTCTAGCTGCAATTTCGTCGAGGCGCCTTGCAGTCCAGACGTCTTCTTGGGAGATGTCTTGACGGTGACACTGAGCACACGTAAATTGATGAAAGTGCTGGGGACGAAGTTCATGGTAGATGTGTTGCCAAAGGTCAAGATTCGGATGGATGCTAAGACGATGTTCTTGTTGAGAAGTTCCTTGCGAAGAGGGCCTGATAGAGTCTTGTTGCCGTAGCAGAGTCTGAGTGAGAGCTCCTCGAGGTTAATCATCTTGTGCAGAACGGTTGCCAACAGAGCAGGGGCTGCTGCAGGACAGGGACCACTGGCGGAGTCAAGAAAGTCCCAGCGGGATGCAGGTCTGTTGGGGCCGTCGGATGAAAGAGAGAAATGTCTGCAAATATCAGAATCCATGTATGAGGGTAGAAGGTGAGGGTAGCGACTCACTGGACGGCAGACAGGATGGTAGGGTTCTTCTCGATGACCTGAAGGCTGTCAAAAAGCCTGTCCTCGTTGACCCACTTTCTCATCCGCCGGAAGATGTAGGGAATCGTCAACGAGCGAAGCTGTTTATTGACACGGGAGAGAGCTTTGCGCGCCTGGCAGAGGTTGGTGATTTCGAGGACAAGCTCATTGGGGAGTTTGATGAAGTAGTTGGTTGAAGATTGAGGATCCTTGCTGGCGCGATCGCACAGCGACGCCTGCAGCGACTCCATGTCGGCGCTCGGTGTTTCGATCAAGCTGGCAAGAGAGCGTAACGGATCCGGGTAGACGGGCATACAGGCTTTTGGCCATACAAGCTTGGGGGTTGGGTGGCCACGTTGGGAATTCTTGGGAATTTGGACAACCTCGATGGAAGGGAGGAGGAAAAGGGCGAGTTGCTCACCTGCATAGGTGGATATTGTACTTCCGGAATCTGAATGGGGAGATGACCTGGGAAGGGCAATAAAGGAAGGAAGGTGCAATGCATCCTGGGTACCTCTCCTCACCTTCCTTGCCTTTACCAGCTTCCCACAGAGAAGGCGCAAGATCAGAAACCATATAAGCACGTAGCACTTGCCAGATCCATATTAATGAAAAGCATTCATGTGAATTAGCTAGAAACTGGGTAATTTATCAGTGGCTGTTACGTCCCAGTTCTTGTCATACAGAAAATTGTTGTGATTTAGGCTTTGGATGAAGTAACTAATAAGGCAAACAATAAGGCAAACAAGAAAGGTCTGCAGTCTCGCCCTAGTATTCTAATGCATACTCCAATCGCATGCTGCCCCTTTGTAAAGCCTCCATACAAGTCCTAGGCCAACTGCAGAACTTTCACTTCCTGGGTCGCACTAGGATATGTTTCGTTGGGTTTGGTAGAATCTGCAGCGTTGAAAGTCAGTAGGATGTCTTTGAGCATTGCAGCTAAGCAATGCATCATGACACATTATAGAAAATGATTTACATACATATTGACCTGAGTGAAAATCTGGATATCTTTCACTCGCTCCATCTTCTGGCCGAATTTCGTATTTAGCCAGGAGTTTGATGAGAAACATTTTTGCAATGGAGCATCCAGCCCATCGGCCAGGGCACATGTGGGAGGCATAACCAAAGTTGACATCGTCCCTGGTTGCTGTGCCCCAGTCATACTTGTTGGCGCCAAGACCATTAGACATCTGTTGCCGCAGCTCGTGGTATCGCCGCCCGTTCCATTTGGCTGGGTTGTCGAAACCGGGGTTGGACAAATGTGCTGCCGTCATGACAACTTCGAAAATTGTCCCCGCAGGAAGAACAACTCCATTCGGAAGCGTTTGCGTCTTGTGAATCTTTTTCATGAGGTTGGCTATCCACGTCAGTCAGCACGTCCCTGCGCAAATCCACCCCATGTCGTGCCTTACATGCAGCCGTCGGGTGGTGTTTGTGTGTCTCTTTGCAAAAGCTGTCCAGCAACGACAGCCTCCTGAGACTATCCCGTGTAAAGTGCCAGATATCCACCTGTTCTCCCAAAACTTGGTTTGCCTCCTCGAGCACAAGTTTAGTGTAGTCAGGACGGAACGCAAACTCATACACAATCTGCGTCGTCGACGGTCCCGGAGAAAACACGAAGGTGAAAGCAAAGCCGATTAAGACGTTGGTGAGGTACTTGTAGTCACGCCTTTTTTCTTCGGGTGCCATGCGAACCAATTCTTCCAGCCAATCGTTGTTGACTGAACTCATGTCCAAGCCTTGCTCCAAGGCTTGGGCACACTGCTCGAAGAGGGGGGTGAAGAAAGCTGTCACCCTCTCCAGCTGAGCATTGACCTTACGAACATCACTTGAAAACGCCGCGGTAATTCGAGCTATGATGGGTCGCTGAGCCTTGAGAGCCTTCATGACGGGAATGAGTGTTGCTGAATAGCTTTCAAAAATGTCCACCACCTCGGGACTGAAGTTGTTGCCAAGGATGACCCGCCATATTACATGAGAATATACGTGTAAGATTTGCGGCTGCATGATAACAGGCCTGCTGTCTATATTGGTGGCATTGTTAGCAAACACCTTCGCTGTCATGTTGCACAAGGCACCACAGGCTAGCCGCCACACCTACCACCGTGAGAGTAGTCGAAGCCCTCACTGAGAACGCTCGCGATTCCCTCATCTAAAGCCTCGGAGATGACCTCCAGGTGTTTATCTTTCGATTCAAAGCACATTGTCAGCTCATCATCTTATCTCATACCTGGACGCCTCCACCTACCAAAACCCGGCATGCGGGAAGCTAGATAACGATACAGATATGGCTCTTCGAAAGGGGCACCATGCAAATCGCAGAGAAAGAACTTAATTCGTTAGCTATCACCCATCCTGTATGATGACACTGATCACGTCATACCTCTTTGCGAGCGGGTGCAACTTCTTCATCCTTCTTCTTGCATATCGCCAACCAATGTTCGGGTGCCAAGAGCACCAAATCTGACCCTGCAGCTGGTGAGCCTAGGACAATTGACATTCAGTCATGGGTTAATTGAATACCATCCAAAGCTGTGACTCGAAACACGCCGCTCTTTGCCTGTTTGAAACCTTTCTCGATGATCTCGACGCCATGCGCAGCGAAGTCCTGCCTGCTTGCAAACCAAGACTTTGAGCTTGTGATCTTTGGGATTCCGCGATCTGAAGCCATGCATCTGAACAATATCGGGCTTAAAATGGCGAGAATCAACACGGTCGCGAGTGCTGAGCTGTTTCTCAGCCAACTCACCAATTGAGGGGGAGATTGAATGGGGAAAGCGGTGGAGTTCATGACGGAAAAATCGTTTGCCTATGGCAGAAGCACACAAGGTCTCAAACAAGTTGAAGTTGGAAATCGAAAATCGACGGATTTCCGGAGGCGAATTGTGCTAAAATCCGCGGATATTCTGGACTCTTTCACATGGGCTACATATATATAAATACCGGTACGTGCGGCTCGTGGCACGGTTGAACGGCTGAACAGTAGCTTTGCCAGAGATTCGGTCTTAACTTCTGAAATAAGACACGGATCGCGAGTGCGGAGAAATGGGGGAGCAAAATTGGGATGTAACAGCCTTCAGATATCGAAATGTGGCTATTTTCAGATGACGGTTGGCAGACTTGACTGTGGAAACGTGCATCTCTTTGTTGCTTCGGTTGCCCCCCGGGTTCCGTCGTAAACCTTCGTGATCGTATCCGCTACTTCCGACCGGACAGCTCCAACGAAACCGAGACTTTCGGCTCAAGCTCCCGGCTCCGGGCTTGAGGCTCTTGAGTCGGGCTGAAAAGCTAAACATACGACCATTGTTACTCACAACGATTCAAACATCTTCAACTAGACAATCTTGCTTTACAAACTAGGACCCAAAAGGGCAGATGCTGGGAAAGCCTAGATCGCCACGGCCGCCTTCGCTGTCTCGGACGTCTCAGAACCATCATATGCAAGACATCCTGAGGGTTGGTGTGACACGATGCCGACTGTCTTCTGGCATGGCAAAAATGAGCCTTGATGAGTGATATGCAACCGGGGCTCCGTGATGTCTCGTTGAACCTCGCCTGCTTCGTCCATGTTGGCGGGCTGAACATGTTTCAAGTTCTTTTCCAGAGTGCCCTGTCCTGAGTGCTCCAGTATATAAGGCCAACGGTCTGCTATCGGGTGGGTGCTGTATCATGCATTTCTGTCTTTTATCCCGAGTCCATTACTCTGTTCGTTTTGTGCGATAGCCTAATTTCACAAGTTTCATACCGACCCCGGCCACTCTCCAAAATGGTTATGTCAACAAAAGACTTCTCTCCCAGGCAGGAGGACACGCGATTCTGGTGGGAAGAGCTCTCCCATCCTCTTCTGTCTCTCATGCAGAGTGCCGGATACTCTGCTGAGGCTCAGGAACAGTATGCTGAGTTCGTCCAACAACTTGTCATCCCGTCACTGGGACCTCGTCCAAACATCACGAAGTCCGGCGCTCGTCTGCCTCATTTCGACAGCTTCTGTTCTGACGACTTCTCTCCCGCAGAGCTCAGCTGGAACGTTGGGCTGAAGAGGTCCAAGATCCGAGTTGGCTCTGAGCCGATCGGGCCCTTGGCCGGTACGGCAAAGGACCCTTTCAATCAAGATGAGCCCGAGGTAGTCATGTCGCGCGTTCTGCGTCATGCTGCCGAGAATAGCCCTGTCGATGGAGAACTTTGGGAGTTCTTCAAGAAGCACCTGCATGTCGACGCGAAACATGCTGATAAGATTGTCTCCAAAATGGACAACAATGAGCATATGACAACAAATACCATCTCGTTTGACCTTGAAGGCGAACACCCTGTGCCCAAGGTTTACTTTTATCCCATCCCAATTTCCCTGCTTCAGGAGAATCACGCCGGCGAAATCATCACCGATGTCATTGGTCAGCTGCCGCTCAATCTCATGCCTGCTTTCGACTACATTCGCAACTTTGTCTACCACTACAAGCATGAACGCAACAACCAAAATATTCTGCGCTTGGAATTAATTGCATTTGATGCGCTGCGCCCGATTGATGCGCGATTCAAGGTGTACCTGCGCACCAAAGAGACTTGTCTCGCCCGGGTGGAGGAAGTGTACACCCTTGGACATACTCTCAAGGGTTCCGAAATTGATGCCGGTGTGGATTTGGTCCGGCTATTCTATCTCCATGTACTCGGTTTATCTGCCCCCGAAGAAGACCTACCTCGCAGCATGCATCGCACGGCAGGCATCATCTTCAACATGGAATTGAAGCACAACTCAACTGCACCAGTACCAAAAGTGTACATTCCCGTTCGACACTACGGCGGAACTGATCTTCGAATCGCGCAGTCACTAGGCAGTTTTTTCCGAGCAATTGGGCTGAAAGCGTTGGCAGACACATACGTCGACGCAGTGCAAAAGGCTTTGTAAGTAGTTTTGTCCTACTCGGATTGTTTTGAGCTTCAAGCTAATATTCTTTGCAGCCCTAAGCAGGACTTCTCCAACACAATTGGAAGGCACTCTTACGTTGGCTTGTCATACACGAAAGATGGGCCGTACGTGACTTTGTACTATAACACAATGACGTTCTCGGCGGGCAATGAGCGGGATGACAGAGGCAAACTCGTTGGGCCCGCAGCGTGGAAGCAGCGACATTTGCTAGACTGAAAACTCTATTTAAGCTTAAAAGCACTCTTTAGTGGATTCACGAACTGCACATCTGTATGGGCGAAGTTAAACCATCCGATGTCGTCACGTGTAGGGTGGAAGTTTATCATCATGCACAATGTGAAAAATTAGAACCTCGATAACATTCGCTGGCTGTGACTGAAGACTCTGACTTCTCGGATCTTTATGTTGTGATCATTGTAGTATTACAAACGCCGTGGACCGCTTAGTCACTGTTCACGTCGAGACGCATATTTGTATAGGTATTTTCCCATGCCACTGAAGCTCTAGCCCACTCCCGAACCCGCGAAACCAGTGATAGAGTGTCACAAGCTGACAAAGGTCAGACGTAACTTAAACTTGGTTAGTTTTTGCCTTTCATTCTGCCAAACCCCACAGCCCACCGGGACTGTGCGACTGTCAAAGCGACAGGAACAGTTTCAGAACTCTCACGAGAGTCTATTTTTCTCTGCTTGTACTGCACAGAAAACAATGCCTCGGGTCATCAGACCGGACGATGAAGGGGAAACCGGCCGGATGATGAACAGAAAGCCATCGGATCAATTAGTGAAGGCCGAATTCCATATTTGGTGACCGTTGAGAACGAGCTGAAGCGAGCGAGCCCGAGAAACACTTACCGTTGAGGAGTAAGATCAGCCGAGTTTTGGAATCTGTACCGATTCGGGGGGGGGATGGAGGGGAGGGGGGAGAGGGCCCTCGGACAGGGCAGAAGATGCAGAGAGTGCACTGAGACTGGCCAGGAGCTTATCATTTGGCTAGAACAGGTAGGTAAGCAGAGCGGATGACAAAGAAATATGAAATACAACGGCCTTGCTTTCATTTCGCAGTTAACGTGTCAACAATGCAGACTGGGGGCTACCATTCTCGAAGTTCCCCGTAAGTTTTTATTCCGTGGATGTCCGTATTCTTGAAGTATATATGTGGTTAGCACCCAGGCCTCCATGTCCATGTGTGCTACTCCTCCTCCCTCGTCATTTTAGATGAACAACATATCATTGGTCATTATGGAGAGGCTCGAAGCTATTCCCGCGATTGTTCTCAGCAAGACCGCTCTGGCGTTCGCCGTGGCCGGTGTTCTCACGCTGTGTTTCCTCTACCGAACCCTGCTCCCTCGTCCGCTTCCTGGTATTCCTTACAACAAAACGGCAGCGACATCACTCTGGGGTGATATGCCGGAAATGATCAGCCATGTCAAAAATACTGGCGAAATGTATGACTGGCTTGGGGCTCAGAACATCAAACACCAATCCCCAATCATTCAAGTCTTCGGGCGACCATTCAGCAAGCCATGGGTCGTCATTTCAGACTTCCATGAGACACAGGATATATTGATTCGGCGAGGCAAAGAGTTCGACAGATCAGAGTTTACTGCTGACGTTCTAGCCGGCGTCATTCCAGAACACCATAGTAGATGGAAGACAAATGATGAATGGAAGAGTCGTCGCCGACTTATAGGGGACATACTGACCCCGAGTTTTCTCAGCAAAGTCGCTGCCCCCCTCCTCCACGAGAGCACCTTGCGCATGACTTCTTTGTGGCAAGAAAAGTCCCGGCTAGCCAAAGGTCGCGCTTTTTGGGCTTTGAAGGATATCAGCCACTGTGCCCTAGATGCCGTTCTTGGGTTCACTTTCGGTCCTGGTTTGGAAGGGCTCAGCGCCACTCAGCCACAAATTGACCACCTCGCGTCCATGTCCTCATTACCACACGAAACCATGAAGGATACCAATGATTCTCCAGTGAACTTTCCTGACACCCCGCCGAATCCCGTTGTTGAAGCGTTACTCAAACTTTCAGACAGCCTCGAGACTTCCATGAAGTCGCTATTCCCTGTACTTGCCCACTGGGTGCTTCGACAACGTGCATACCTGAGAACCGCAATCTCACTGAAGGAAGACCTGTTGAGACGCCAGATAGATCTTTCTGTTGCCCGAGTTCGGGCCGGGGAGAATGTGGTGCGGTGTGCAGTAGATGAGATGGTTCGCAGGGAGAAGAGCCAAGCAATGAAGGAGCGCCGACAGCCACAGTACCACTCACGATTTTTTTACGACGAGGTAAGCCTATTGCCGTCCATAATCGATCAAAGGTCGAATGAGCTGAGATTCTCAAAACAGTTGTATGGATTCACCCTTGGAGGTCACGAATCAACATCGAACTCAAATCAATGGGCCGTCAAAACGCTAGCGCGCCATCAGCAGCAACAGAACAAATTGCGGGCCAGTCTACGTGCTGCTCTTCCCGAGGCAGTATCAGAGAGGCGTGTTCCAACAGCCCAAGAGATCATGCAGATACGCTGCCCATACTTGGAGGCCAGCATCGAGGAACTTTTCCGCACATCACTGACAGCGCCAATGTGCGTCCGAAGTTCGACTCAAGACACGCAGATTCTTGGTAACCGCATTCCAAAGGGAACTGTGGTGTTTCAGGTCTGGAATCAGGCAAGCTATACGCAACCTGGCTTCTTTATTGACGATAGGCTGCGGACTCCGGCGGTTCAGGCTGCAGCGAAAGGG